TGGTGTCTGTGCAAAATTAGCCTCAGCCGAGTCTATCCTTGGTCTAGAGTATACTTCTATTCACTGACACACATGGTCTGATCATCTCAGGCGTGTGCTATATGTTTATCTGTAGCCTGGTGTTTGGTGTTAATGGCAATGCAGTATTGTGGACACATTGATTGGTATTAGCATCTGTTGTCTATCTCTTATGTGCACAATTTGGTGTCCTCCCATTTCCTCATGTTATCATGGTGGTCACAGATTGAAGGGGAATATTTTGAGCAAGACTTAAAAGTTTCCACTTTTGTCTTTCCTCACTTCCACACCCACCTTACTTCCCACTCCAATTGGTCTTGTGCCTCTCTCGCCTCAAACACCAGAAAACCCTCCTCCATCTCCAGCTCTTAGGAGTCTCTTGGTACTTTCCTTCCTTCTCAGTTCTCCATCACCAAAGCCCAAAGAATGTCCCTCAAAGTGGGACCTCCTCAGAGGGCAGGGCAAGAGAAGAAAGGGGCTGGGGTTGCTTTTCAGTTTAAATCTTCCCTTCAGAGTATGATTGCTGGAAGTTGGATTAGAGTGATGAGAAGCAGTTTCTAACATGTGTCTGTGCTCCTCAGTGTTCACTGTGGGTTTTCAAATCATCCCTTCCATGTGCTTATATCTTTCATGGGGATTTCAGCCTCTATTCATCTCTGAACACTAGGCACATGCCCGAGTCCACATTCACATATGGGAACCAAATCAGCAGCCATGGTTTCTGAGACGAGCTGAAAGGTGGCTCAGAAGTGGGTCAGACTGGTTCGAGCCAGGCACCCAAAGGTGTAAGACTGAGAAAGAATTTTGAGTCAGAAAAGGAAGGCAGTGATGCCATCCTAAAGAGCCCCAAATGTCTCAAACTGACAAAGGGCTTGGGCAATATGGTTGTGGTATGTGTTGCCATGGTTCTTTCAGATATTGCATGTTCTAAGAGAATGCATCGTGTCAGTACCCACTTGATTTAGAAACTGATTATGACACTTATTTGTACAGCTCTTGTGGTGACACAATTATCTTGCTGGGAAGTGTATCAGCTCAAGGCTTGGGAATGGACTTCTTGTAAAATCCTGGGCTTTTACAGCCCCTTGCTGCTGGTAACCACCATGGGGAAATTTGGGTTCTAGCACTCTCAAGGGAAAGCAGAATTGCTGTTGCTGCATGAGAGTTGCAGTTGGCCTTAAAATCAGGGCTCTGGTCCCAAGCCTGTGTGACCTTGGGAAGTCACTGTATCCCTCAGAATTTCAGTTTCCCTGCTTGTGAGGTCTGTGGGTGGCTCTGTGTTCTCATACTCCCTCTTTTTTTCCCACACTCTAATGATCATCTCTGGCCCCTAGTACCCACATTAGCATCTTTGCTGGGCCCTGATTCTTTCCTCTGCTTCAGGGGCACCCTGGAACCCAAATACTTCCAGATAGTTCCTTGTTCCCCTGACAACTTCTCTCAGATGCCCAGATCAAGATTCCTCAGCAGTGACACTACTGACATTTAGGGCTGGATAGTTTCTTTGTTATGTGTGGGGCTGTCCTGTACATTGTAGGATATTTAGTAGTATCACTGGCCTCTACCCACTAGATACAGTAGTACCCTCGCCCCAAGTTGTGCCAACCAAAAATGTCTCCAGACATTGCCACATGTATCCTGGAGGGGCCAGAATCCACCTGCTTGAGAACTTCTGCCCTAGACAGAGCTGGGCTTTGCAGTGATTTCACCACCTTTATGTTTCAGATCTCTGCTTAGACCTTGTTTCCTGGCAGCACAGTAACCTCAACCCACCCTTGTGGCAAATGATTTGAAACTCAGCAGAATTTGAGCTAAACTGATCATTTCTTTGAATATAACAAAGGGTCTAATGTTCTCTGCTTATTTTTTCATTTGTATTAAGTTCAAGTAATTTCTTCTTTATATGAAAGGGGGTTTATTATTTCTCGTTTGTTCCCACTTGGTGTTCTCTGGCCTGCTCTTCCTCTCCTCCCAGATTGCTTTTCTATTTTTGTAGAAAGAAGATTTGACTTCTTCTCTCCTGCTTATTCCTCAGCTTGTTAAAAGCCCTTCGACAGATTTATGAGTAAAAATTAAATCCCAGAAGAGAAAGTCCCTGAGGAGAAGGCACATGTGGGACCTGCCCTGTGGCCTTGGGGCAAGCAACTCTGAAGCCTTTTGAGCTGGGGTTTGAGGGAAGTGATGGCACCTCAAGAAGGTGCTAGGCAGCAGAGCTGTTCATGGCTTCCCAAGAGAAAGCTCGGGTGCTCAGAGCATCTCACCACAGAACTCAGGAAATATGGAAAGGCAGCTTGGAATATTTTGCCAAAAGAAGAGAGCTCCCGTTCTTTGGGTTTCATGATATTGTAGAAATTTACTTTTGGAAATTCAGAGGCTTTCCAGGTTTACACCCACTTCTCTGAGAGGTACCCTTACTTCTTGTTCATTGGTGTCAAGTTGATTCCGATTCAGGGGGGCCCCATATGTGCAGAGTAGAACTGTGCTTCACAGCATTTTCAAGGTCATGACCTTTTGGAAACAGATAACCAAGGCTTACTTCCAAGGCATCTCTGGTTGGGTTCAAATCACCAAATTTTCAGCTAGTAGTTGAGTGCTTAACGATTTGCACCACTCAAGACATCTTGTTTCCTGTTCTTTGGAATCTAATTAAACTTTTAGCCATAGAACCATTCAAATTTACTCTCCATTTGACTTCATGGTGAAAGCATTTTCCAGTTGCAGGGTAAAGCGTTTGTGTGTGCATGCGCACATGTGCATATGTGTGCATATCTGTGTGTATGTGCATATATATATGTATAAGTGTACATATGTTTGTGTGCATGCATGCCTGTGTATGCATAAATGTGTGTCTGTGCATATGTCTATGAGTGTGTGTACACAGAGCTGCAGCCTCTCCCACCCCTCCTGACCCTCCTCTTGCCCATGATGGGTTTGTAAGCAGCATTCAGCCTCCAGGACCAGAGCTTGTTAGAGGCCAGAGTAGAGCATGGGAGATTGGGGTAGTAGGCATGGAGGAGGACCGAGGGCAGAACAGGGCCATTGTACCAGGGAGGATGGCCACAGTATGACCTAGGACAGCCTTGGGGAAAAACTGTGAGGCCTACTGCCTTGGACAGGATTCCACCTTACGCTGGGAGACTGCCTTGGATGGGCAGGTAACAGAGGAATAGCTCAGATGGCCTTTGCATACAGCCCTTCTGAACCCCTGGGTTTGGCAAGGGAGAAAGATACCCAGAGAGGGTGGGAGAGAAGAACGAGGGTAAGAGGAGACAGAGGATGAGGGCTGAGGAGTCACTGAGCATGTAGGTGCTGGCCTACATGTGGAAGTGCAACAAATGAGTGCTGGAGCAAAGCCAAGGCAAAAAGTGTTTTTAATTTTTTATTTAGTAATGCAATCAACAAACATTTAGTATGCTCCAGGAGCTCTGGTGGCGTAGTGCCTAAGGCATTTGACTGCTAACCAGAGGGTTGGTGGTTCAAATCCACGAGCCACTCCATAGAAGGAAGACTGGGCAATCTACTTCCATAAAGATTTACCGCCTTGGAAACCCAAAGGGGGTCACTATGAGTCAGAATTGACTCAATGGCAGTAGGTTTGGTTTGGTTTTGGTTAAGTGCTGAGGGTATATCAGTGAACCCAACAAAGACCTTCAGAAACCAGATCAGCAGTTAGGGGAGGATTGACGGCAAAGGGTCTTAAAGAAACTTTTCAAGGTGAAGGAAATGTTCTGTATTTTGATCAACATAAAACCAAACCAAACTTAGTACTGTCCAGTCAGATCCTACTCATAGTGGCCCCTACTTGGGTTTCCGAGGCAGTATCACTACAGAAGTAGATTGCCCAACCTTCCTTCCTCTGAGTGGCTGGTGGGTTTGAACCGCCAGCCTTCTGGTTAGCAGTTGAATGCCTTAGGCATTATGCCACTGTTGTGTTGTTGTTATGTGCCGTCAAGTCTGACCCGACTCATAGCGACCCCTTCTTGGCAGTATCACTACGGAAGTAGATTGCCCATCTTCCTTCCGAGGAGTGGCTGGTGGGTTTGAACCATCAGCCTTCTGGTTAGCAGTCAAGTGCCTTAGCCACTATGCTACCAGAGCTCCCTTAATCAACATAGGTGTATTCATTTGATGAAACTCATTGAATCATATACTTAAAAGGGGCACGTTTTATTTTATGTAAATTATATCTCAGTAATGAGTCCCTAAGGACGCCGGTGGTAGTTGGGTAAATGTTCAGCTGCTAACCAAAAGGTCAGCAGTTCGAACCCACCTGCCATCCTGTGGGAGAAAGATATGGCAGTCAGCTTGTGTAAAGATTTACCTCATTGGAAGCCATATAGGGCATTTCTGCTCAAGGATTGTGACGATGGCATAGACAGGGCAGTGTTTTGTTTTGTTGTACATGGGGTCGCTATGAGTCAGAATCGACTCAACAGCACCTAACAACGACACTCTGTCCTATAGAGTTGCTATGAGTCAGAATTGACTTGATAGCAGTAAACTTGGTTTAAGAAGTTCCTGGGTGGTTCACATGGTTAAGCACTCAAGTACCAAAAAGTTGATGGCTTGAACCCACTCAGAGATGCTGCAGAAGAAAGGACTGGTGATCTGCTTCCAGCATGTCACAGTCATGAAATCTCTGGGGAGAACAGTTCTACTCAAACACATATGGGTTGGCATGGGTCAGAATCAATTCAATGGCAACTAGTTTTTTTTTTCTTTTTTTTTTTTTTTTAGTTTATTCCTCAGTAAAGTTGATCTAAAAAACAAAGCCCCTCGTCTTATAAACCTTTCATTCTAATGGGAAGAGAGAGATGTTAAGCAAATAAATAGATGTTAAGCAAATAAATAGGAGGGATAAAGGAGAGGGGTTGATAACGATGAAGTTTTGAGGAAAGGAGCCAGGGGTTAGAGCTGCTGGGAGCACAGAGGAAGGGAATCTGATTTCACCAATAGTTTTGTTTACTCTCTGTCTTCCCCAGGAGTATGAGTGCCTGGAGCAAGAGAACACAGTGCTGCGGAGAGAGATCGCGAAGCTGACAGAGGAGCTGAAGCACCTGAGTGAGGAGCTGAAGGAGCACGAGAAGATGTGCCCGCTGCTGCTCTGCCCCATGAACTTTGTGTCCATGCCTCGGCCAGACCCTGTAGCCAGCTGCCTGCCCCGGTGAAGCCCAAGGGCCTCCTTCTCTGTGGAGTGAGGAGCCTCGATCTTCCTCATACCAGGAATGAGAGGTCTCCCTCCACATCTATGCATAGGAGGACCTGTGGCCCAGTCTCCTCCTAGGAGCTCAGGAGCCCTGTCTTCTGCAGACCGAGTTCAGCATGAAGCCCCTCAGGCGCGTGACTCTTGAAGCCCTGGAGCAGATACAGGCAAAGTTGGTTCACTTCTTCAGGAATCACTTCTCATCCACTTTGGCAGCTAGTAGGTTCCGCAGTTATGCAGAATCATTTCCTCCAGAATTTGGATAATAAAGATTGTTGTTACAGTCTCTCTTTTCTCCAAGTTCTTGGAATTTAGAGACACAAAACACTTTCTGTTCTTGAAAGAAGTTTCTTTCAGGTCTCCTCAGGTTTTTTTTTTTTTTTTTTTCATGGATCTTGCTTTCCTATCCTGTTCATCTCCCCAGTAGCCACATCTATGGGGATACCCATAGTGGATTGGGGAGGCATCCTTGGGGGCAGAAGAGCAAAGGACAATGGGACTTGCCTGCCACCCCTGTGCTTTCAGAAATGAGACCCAGCTGGGTCATGAGAGGGCATAGTGAGGATGACTGGTGCTTGTCTTAGGCTTTGTGTTGCCCTCAATCTGGTCAACTCACACCCACGCAGGTTTCTACCCTGGGCTGGTTTTCTGCTCTGTGTACTCTCAGGTCACCTCCTCACCCTAGCAGAAGATACAGGATCAGACAACAAATTTATTTCTGTATCAGTCTGAGTCAGAGTTGAATGGGGGGAAACCAGTTCCCTTATTTAAATCAACAAATGTTTGGGTAGATGAGGAGAGGGGCAATTTCCTTTCCGAAGAAGTTCCTTCTAGCTCTGTTCTTTCAGGAAAAAGTGAACAAAGCCAATTAGAGTTGACCCCAGAGAGGAAAGCAAATTTAGAAAAGACTCCCCCTACCCCTTTAGGGCTCTTCTTCCATGGAACAAGATGGGGGTTGTGGAGGGTGGAACCATCCCATCATAAAAGGAACAGGAAATGAGAACAGAAAGGAAAGTTTTTGATTGCCAATGTAGATGATTTGAAAAGGGGAAAAAAGAAAAGGAAAGGAGGATGGATTTACTGACTTCATACAAGTAATTTCCACTACTGCCCATGAGACCTCCTTCTGTCGAGAAGGCTCCCTCTCCTATTGGAAGTCTGTCTGGTTTCCTCTAACTCACACAGGTTGAAGCCTGCAGAATTCCACTAGTCAGAGGCATACCAAAAAGCTGATGCCTACTGGAAATACCACACCAAAGCTTTCTGAATGCAGCACTTAAAGGAGAATGATGCCCTCTTCTAGTGAAAGAGACCTTAATCATGCAGTCTGACCCATTCACTTTGCACATGAGGTGGCTGAGGTACAGAGAGAAGGGACTTACTTGCTCAAGGAGAGTAGCACTATCAGCATGAGACCCCAGCTCTCCACTGTTGAGGGTCATGCTGAAACCAGGCAACAAGGAGGTGAATTGGGGCAGGGTCCTGTTCAACTACTGTCCAACAGTGGCAAGTCCTGCCAGCTCCTCACAAGTCTGGCCAGGACTACCCAGCACAGGTGAGCAGCAGGTCTGTGAAGAGTGGACTTGGAGCCAGGGCCCAGGAGGTTATGTGGCTGTGAGTGTGAACATGTGGGTGTGTATGCCTTGCACATGCAGGCATTTTGTTCCTGCTGTCTTCGACCCTACCTGACTTCTTGTCCCAGTAGGAGCACTTCATACTCTTGCTAAGTCATCATCTGATCCTGCCGTGCCTCCGTGCTTTCCTGACTCTCTGGCCCCTCTAGCTGACCTGACTTGTGAAATCTGTCTCCTGCCCTGCTCTGGCCCAGGAGTTTCTGCTGGTTCTGCTGGCTGCTCCCCAACTCCACTTGCTGACCCAGCATGTCCATCCCTGCTGGCCCTGTTGCCTGATTTTCCTAAAGTCCTGTCCAGCCTGACTCCACATAGTCATTTAAGAAATAGATGCCTTCCATTTCATGGCTCTGTGCCCTCAAGGCCTTAGAGACCCCCACTGGTTCCTCTGCTCAATAGGGAAGACTAGGCAGGGGAGAATCCATGGAGTATGGGGTTAGGGCCAGATCCGGAAGTGACCAGTACCAGTACCAGTTGCTGTCAAGTCGACTCTGACTCTGGGTGACCTCATGTGTGTCAGAGAGAACAGTGTTCCACAGGGTTTACAATGGCTCATTTTTCTCAAGTAGATTGCCAGGCCTTTCTTCCAAGGTGCTTCTGGGTGGCCTTAAACCTCCAATCTTTCAGTTAGGATCAGAGAACCTTAATGATTTGCACCACCAAGGGATTCTCAACTGGAGGTGACATTACTTCATTTCCCACCTACATTTCATTGGCCAGAACTCAGTCGTATGGCTACAACCCACTTCAAGGGAGCTTGGGAAATGTAGTTTAGCCACATGCCCAGAGGAGGAGGAACTGGGTTTGGTGAATATCTGTCACAAGGAGATGGAGCCTTAGCTCTCACCTCATCAAAGCTTCCTATTTGGAGGTTACCAGTACGTGTTGGTTGCTAATTCTAATAAGTGTATCTCAGACATTGTCTTCCTTTATCTCCCAATAGTATATGCATTTCCTCCTCTCTCTACCTGTTTCTTCTTAGCATAAAGGGGCTCCTCTTTGACACTCAGTCACATCTAACCCTATGCCAATAATTCTCACATCTATATCCAGAACTCAACTCTCTCCTGAGGCAAATCTGTCTGTGTAGCTGTCTGTATTTCAAGTCTCTGAGGGGGACCTCTCACAAGTGCATTCCACTCAACACATTTGAAGCTATAGTAATTATCTTTACCTGTTTAATAAAGGCCTCCACCATCCACTGAGTCAAAAACCTAAACATCATGTTTGATTCCTCTGTGGCCCCAGGCTAATCCACCCAGTCTTGTCAGCTGTATGTTCTCCATCTTCCCCAGATCCGGCCACTTTGCTACAAGATTCAATTCCTTTCTCTGCCTTCAAGATTTTATTTAAATTAACTGCTGTCCATAGGGGGCCGGAGATTTGCCTTCCTTACTAAACTGTGTATTTGTTAGTTTGAACTCAAATTTGGGAAGGGGCAAGACTTCCTCTACTTTTGATATAAAAGCAGTCCATTTGGAGGCAGGGAACTGAGACCAGGGTTGTCCAAGGGTAGAGGGTCACGGTGCCAGGGGCCAAGTCCCATCCCAGAGATACAACTTTCCAGAGTTCTAAGTCCTGGGTGGCGCAAATGCTTAAGCGTTCAACTACTAACCCGAAGGTTGATGGTTTGAACCTACCCAGAGACACCTCAGAAGAAAGGCCTGGTGATCTGTTTCTGAAAGATCACAGCCATGAAAACCCCGTGGAGCAGAATTCTATTTCTAAACAAATCGACCAGACTGCAAATGGTGGTGGTGGAAAACCAAATGGTCACGGAACTCAGCCTCTAAGAATCTCCTTATCAAGCTTCCAGTAAAATTAGAGGCTGTCTCAGCTCCCAATTCCTCCTGTAAAAAAGGAAAGATTCTATACAAACCCAAGAGACTGTTGTTTCTGGGAGGAACAAGGGAAGTAGAAAGGTTGCTGAGGGTGGGTTTGTTAGGTTGTATTCATACTGCTGCTATGTGCCAAGCTCACGTAGGCTCACTGCCTAAGACATTTGACTGCTAACCACAAGGTTGGCAGTTCTGTAAAGATTTACTGCCTCGAAAACCCAGTGGGGGTCACTAGGAGTCAGTATTGACTCTATGGCAGGGAGTTTTGTTTTGTTTTGTTTTGATTTGGTTATTCCCACTGCTACTATGTGCCAGAATGAGAAGTCTCCAAGCTGCTGTTTATTGTGATGGGGAGAAGGGAGGCAGATTGAAAAAGTCCCCCCACCCATATCCCCACAGAACCCCCCAACAACCTCTAGGCATAGAAAGTCTGAGAGGGAGGAAACCCTTCTTTCACACCCACACAACCATTTCACTTCCTGTCCGCAATCACGCCGCTTTTGCGCCAGCCCAGCCTTGAAGCTTGGAGTTTCCATCACTGAATCAGGTCTCAATTTCAGCCCCAAACCTGGGTAAAAATGATGACTCTAATGGACGGGAAAGCAAGAGACCTCAAAACCTCTCTCTTCTTTCCCATCAATGCTAGGATCTCCACAGCCAAAATGTACTTACTGGCAGGGGCTGTGTGTTCCAGCCCAGTGAAAGCTAGAAGGGCACCTTCAGCTCTTACCGACACGGCTTCCCTTCTATGACACCCAGGACGTGTTAGCAGCCCCATGCAGTGGCATCACTAGAGTTGTGTCACCAGTTCAGTGTCACTCTGAACCTAAACCATTCCTGCTCCTGAGGAAGTTATGCTGAATCTCCAGGACAGGACACTGCTGGAAACTCAGCTGATAATGCCACCTAACTCGAGGGCAGAGGGTAGCCAAGGCTAGTCTCTGAAAACTGCTTTACACTTGGAGTCAAGGGTTATTTTCTTGGACTGCCCATTTGAAAACGGACCACTTCGATGAAATTTCCCTACCCTATCTGGTGGTGTCATGTTTAAGGCCACCAGCCCCTCTTCGGAAGGAAGATTGGGCAATCTGCCTCGGAAACCCAAGGACGGGTCACTAAGAGTCAAAGTGACTCAATGGCAGTGAGTTTGTTTTCTTTATGTTGGTATCTATTTGGAGGCGTCCCTGAGTGGTGCAAACAGTTAATGCACTTGGCTGCTAACTGAAAGGTTCAATTCAACCTAGAATTCCTCAGAACAAATACCTGGAGATCCACTTCTCAATGAGCCATTTCAAACCTAGTGGAGCACCGTTCCACTTGGACACATGACAGGCCGCCATGAGTTGGAATCGACCCCAGACAACTGGTTTTATCTATTTGGGACAAGGGAGATCATTCACCATGGAGATCACCACCATTAGCATTACCTACACCAAAAGTTAATATTTAGTACTCACTTCAGCAGCTCATATGTTAAAAAAGTGTGTATTTAGCAG